CCCTTGTAGTTTGTTGAGACTGGACAATCTCCTTGTGGACAGGCTAACACACCCTATTCCCATAGTCCCGCCCATCCACATGGTCTGGTCAGATTCAGATGGCTAGGAAAATCATATTGAAAGATAAACTCCACAGTTACAATCACTTTATCAGTCCATCATGTTGAAGATCTCTTTCTCTGGCCCTCCACCTTTCCCACCTTTGTTATCTTTTTCCAAGGACTAGCTATACCTGATAACAAAACCAGAGTATGTGAGATGGAGTTTCACCACCTTTGGCTCTAATGAGCACACTTAACTGTACTTCTTCCAAGGCAGATTTGTTTGTTCTTTTGGCAATCAACAGAATATTCAGGCATATTCAGTACTCTTCAAATGGCAAGAAGCTGCGCTGCAATCCCAAAGGCACGTGGTTCAACTCCACCAGATGCTTTGCTGGAGAAGGAGGGGCAGTCTCCTGTGCCTTCTGGATCTGACTCATTGTTACACAACAAGGTGGGGGGGGGAGAACCAAAGGCATTGATTCTTCTGTCATCCTGATTTATTCATTGTCCAACTTTCAGATGCATGAGTGTTGATCATGGATTCAAGTGAAATGGAACCATTGACAACTTGAATCTTTTCTCCATCTGTCATTATGTTGCCTGTTCTAGGATTGAGGATTTTTATATTCTTGTGGAGATGCATTCAATCCATATTGAAGGCTGTAGCCTTTGATCTTCTATCAATTAATTAGCCCTATTTGACACATCAGTCAATTACTAGTATAAAGATCTAGGAAAGTTAACGGGGTTTTTTTTAGCCTTAAATTCTTAAGCTGTAAAATGGATAGGATGTTATCATAGGAGAGGAATGGATAAACAAAATATGATCCTTGAAATAATACACAATATTAAATATTAATAAGAGAAATTTTGTTATGATGTATATCACCACCATGCAAACAAATATTGAAAAGATTATTTAACTGAGCACAATAAGTCAGTTGCAAAAGAACAAAATCACTGTCTGAGCTCAGTTATATGAATTAGGTATATAGCAACAAGAGGTGGGGTCGGGGGAAGTAGTTTTTTGGGAGAAAATATAATTTATGTTAACAATAGTGGAATATTTAGGGAAAGGATGGTGAGAATGGTGGCACTGTGTGAAAAATACAATTAATGTCATTGTGAATGTGCAAGTTATATATTGGCATTTGTTTTGCTTTGAGTATTCTCACCACAGCTTAACAACAAGTTTTTAAAAGCCCATGTGGCTGATAGTGGGCAATACAGAGTGGACATAAGATGCCAGCTAGAGAAATGTGGGTGAACAAAGTGTCTAACTTAATGCTTCACACGTAAAAGATGCTCAATAAATGTCTTGCGGTTATACACTACTACTTTCACTGTCTATAAATATAGTAAATCTCATTCATCAATTTACTGAGGTTTACTGAGAACTCCTCTTCCCCAACTACTCACTCTTTGTTTGAGTCTTTCATGATATCCACTTTCCTAAGTAGCCAGACTGCAAATATATCATCCTTTGGAATCCCCCAAAGACCAGAAATTATTAAAAAATTACTGTTTTTCCAGGTTTACATGAGGATCCACAAAGCCCACCTCCTCTTCCTGCTGAGAAACCCATCGGAAACACGTACAGTACAGTCTCGGGGAAACTCAGTAATGTTGACAGAACTAGAAACCTGGTAAGTGGTCATTATAGCTCATGTTCATTAGAAGACAAGGCAATGGGCTTATTTTAAATATTTTGTTTTTGTTGTTGTTGTTATGTACCGTCGAGTCAGAACGAATTCATACCAGGTCCTCCAGGGAGTTTTTAGAGGCAGTAAGTTGCACAGGAGATTGCTTTTTTTTTTCTGCAGACCGGTTGATAGATTTGAACTGTGTGTTTTTGGGTTAGCAGTCCAACTCCTTACCCTTAAGCCACCAGAGCAACTGAGTCTGAATTACTTTATCCCGGGTCATACAGAAAATGTCTTTGCTACAGATCAATTTCCAAGGCCCCTATTCGAGATGGTGATCAATATTTTTAAAATTTCTGTCAAACAAAAGAATTAAGCCTATTAGTAGTACTTCTTTAAAGATATTTCTTCCTGTAGCATTGGAGGGGAGGTTTTTTTACCTTATTTTTGGCCTTTTTGTTTGTTTGTTTAATTTTTTATTTGTTTGGTTTTGGTTTTTTATTTGTTTGTTTGTTTGTTTGTTTAACTTTAAGGAACATTTACAGAGATTTTGGCTTTCCATTCATTTATTGTTGCATTTTTCTCCCCGCCTACCCCTTCCCCCCAGTTCACACTTCTCTTTGAAAAGTAAAAGAAAAATTTCTTCATTGGTATACAATCCACCCCTCCACCCCACCCCAAGTACACTCTGTTATGCAGCCTTCATTCTGGACTCTTGTCGTAACCATAATACCCAATCATGTATCGCTTTTAAACTGTTTTCTCTCTCATCTGTTTGCAACTTTTTGAGAAAGCGCCATACAGCCTTCCATAGTGGTTGCACCATTTTACACTCCCACAGCAGTGAATAAGGGTTTCTCTACAACCTTGCCAGCATTTGTTGTTTACCATTCTGTTAATTGTTTTTTTAATTCTGTTAAATTTTGCTATTACTGGGGTGAGATAATATCTCAGAGTTATTTTTATTTGCATCTCTCTTAGAGCTAGGGATTTTGAACATTTCTTCATGTGTTTATTTGCCACCTGAATGTCGTCTTCATATCCTGTGCCCATTTTTCAGTTGGGCTCTTTACCTTTATCTTGTTGTGGTGTCTGCTTACTTTTATCCTAATCTGCTATTTTTATATTTTATAAGATTGACTCAAAACACATTAATCTTGCTTCACTAACATAACAAAGTGGGTGTTGTGTGGCTTATAGTCCAAACCTATTCACAGCTGGCCCTGCTGCTGGTTTTAAGGGTGTTAGAACACAGTCTCCTCCTGAGCGACTGCCTCTGGAAACCCACTGGAGAATCATCTATGGGTTTGTTCCAACTCTACAACATACAACAACCACACACAAGGCTTGGGATAGGCCTTCCTGGGATAGGCCTTCCTTCTCCCTTGGAGCAGCTGGTAGATTCAAACCACATGCCTTTGTGATTGCAGAGCAAGTTATTCCCAGCTTCTCCCTGAGTCATTAGCATAACAAAGTCAACTCAGTCCTAATGGGATTAGAACTACACACATAAAGTTTAGGATTTACAACACAGTATTGGTGGGCTGACCCACTTCAGTCCATAACATAAAGTACATTTTTTTCTCCACTCTGTTTCTTAATTTCTTTTAAGTAATTAGGCCATTTACACATTCTTGATTCCTTTTGGTAGCTCTTTTAAGGTTTTTTTCTGAAGAAGCCAGTCCTTAAAGTCTTTGAGCCAAATTGTCAGTTCAAATTTCATAATAGTTTTGCACTCTGCATTAACTATACTTATTATACAGGCAAACTGATCTAATCATCTGGTGAAGACACATTTCTTGGAAGGAGACATTAAATTGAATTAGCCAATATCAAGTTAATGAGATTTTCCTGTAGGGTGAATTAAAATTTAGTGATCACTTGCATTTTCAAAGTACTTGGTAATAAATTTTTATTAAAACTGGGGCAGGAAAGCCCAAAAGAGGATAATGGGGCCCCAATCATGCTATTGTTGAACAGGAAAATGCCAGGATTCTAAGGAAGAAATGCTCCTTGAGCAGATTGCTGGCTTCTACTCTCAAAGCATTATGAAAGGGAGCGAGAAGGTGACAGGGAAACACATCTATCGAGAATGAAACGGTGTCATAAATCTTGTAAACGGAAAAGTGCTATTGAAAGATTAGACATTATTGTATGTGGTATTAAGCAGGTGCTTGGAACACCACCCATGTTTTAGTAAAACAAAAGAAGGCTAGAATAAATGAAACTGTCTGGAAGATATAGTGCTGCTGACTGTGTTTGTGTCTCACGTAAAAAGCAAGAGGAAAATCTGATCCTACAGTGTTTACAGAGAGAGTCCGGGCCTTCTGTCCACTGTGTCTAAAGGAAGAAGAAGAGATGAGGAGCTGGAGCTCCAAATTACCTGTTATGCCCACGTGCTCACATGGAGGTTTCCAGAGACAGAGAGTCAGATCTGCACCTGAGAAACTCCTTTTGTGAGAATGGTAGCTCCTGAATGAATCTTGGACAAAACCTCTGTGGCTTAGATTGTTGGCAGTTGTGCTATCAACCCCAGGGATGACCCAACCTCTATAGTGCTTGGAATTCACCAGCAGCTCTGAAAAGAGAAAGATGGGTAGTCTCCTCCCATGCAATTTACAGCATCAGAAGCCCAATGGAGAGGTCCATTGAGTCCGTTCCAACTCTCCAGAAATGACAGTCACTCATGCTAATAGGCCATCTGTGTAGGGGACACAGAACAAACAACCTGTAGTGTTTCTCTAAGTACCAGGGGACGTCACCGCCCTCGGGCAAAAATGGCAGTGTTTGCTAAATGTCATTTTTTTCTTTTCACTTGAAAGATAAAAGGATTTATAGGAAAAAAAAGTGCAACAATGAATGAATGAAAATCCAAAATCTCTGTAAATGTTCATTAAAATTAATAAAATAAACTTAAAAAGAAAGATTAAAGGACTGTGGGGTGAACAACACCAGAAGTGTGTTCTGTCAGCATAAGCACATGCCTGTGTGTACTCTGTTCTCCATTGTGGGAACCCAAAATTTCCTAAGGGATTTCCCCGAGGAGGCTACTGGCAAGAAGAGAACAGGAAAAGCTGGCAGTCTAGGAACCAAGGACGTAACACAGAAGCTGGCTGTGGGAAGAAACACTTTATATAGGAGGAAGAAAAGAAGCCATACCACTTCCTTCCTGAGGCAGCTCAGCAATTCCAGTAGATAAAAATGTGATCTCATGGCGAACAGAGGTTTTTTGAAAATACCTCCCAAAGGTGTGAATTATTTTGAAATTAGAAAACAAGACATCATTCCAATGCAGAAGAACAAAAAGATGGCATCTTCAAGGTCTGTGCAAACCGAGCAGCCAGTTTCTGGAACAGAAAGGAGGACTTGAAGCACTTGTTGCAGAAGATCAAAGAATACAGTCTTCAATATGGATTTCATCTCAATGTCAAGAGAACAACATGATCATGATAGATGGAGAAAAGATTGAAACTGTCGACAACTTCATCTTACTTGGGTCCACAGTTAACGCCCTTCGTACCACCAGTCAGGACATAAGAAGATACATTACTCTGGGAAAGTCTGCAGTTAGGGACCCCTTCAAATTATTGAGGAGTAATGATGTCAATTTGAGGACTAAGTTATATCTGATTCAATGCATGGTCTTTCTGATCACTAGTTATACATCTATCTAACAGCTGCACAACGAATAAGGATGACAGAAGAAAAATTGGTGCCTTTAAGCTATGGTGTTAGAGAATATTTCTGAATATCCCATGGACGGCCAAAAGAACAAACAAATGTGTCTTAGAGAAGATGAAGACAGAGTGCTCTTTGGAAGCAAACATGCTGAGGCTGTCCCTCACATGCTGTGGACATGTTGCTAGGAGGGGCTATTTCTGGGAGAAGGACATGATGCTGGGAAGGGTGGAGGATTGATGAAGGAGAGGAAGACCCTCAGGTGGATTGACATAATGTCTGCTGCAATGGGCTTTAATGTGTCAGGAAGTGTGAAGATGGCACAGGATAGGACAGGGTTCAGATCTGTTATTCACACGGTCACTATGGTTCATACTCAATTCAACAGTACCTAACAACAACAACAGAAATAATTTTAAGAGTCTTCATAAGAATGTCACATAAAATTGAAATCACTATAGTTGCTGTTTGGTACAAAATAGGGTCATACTGTATTTGTTCTACTACATCATTTATACTTCTGTGTTATGTGTGTGTACTTGTATATTTTTTAAAAAAATTTGTCCTTCATGGTGTGTCCTCCAGCACAAAATTCCCTATTTCCCTTGGTCTTCTGGTAGGAGAAGTGATCAACTGTGCTGACAACGCAGGCGTCAAAAATCTATATGTAATCTATGTGAAGGGGATCAAGGGCCACGTGAAGAGCCTTCTTGCTGCAGGTGTGGATGATATCCTGATGGCCACAATCAAAAAAGGGAATCAAGAACTCAATAAGAAAGTCATCCAGAGGTGGTAACTTCACATCACAAAAGTCATATGGAGAAAATATGGTACCAGGAGCCAGGAAATCAAAAGACAAATCTCATTGAAAAAAATCGGCTGTCAGCGACCTCTCCAGAGTACTGGAGAGCAACAAAGTCAGTCTGGAGACTAAGGTGCACCTGATCCAGACCATGGTCTTCACAATTACTTGCTGTACATCAGAGAGCTGGACAATGCCTAGGGATGCTAGAAGGAGAATTGATGCCTTTGAGCTGTGGTGTACTCGAGGAGAGTATTGACTATGCCATGACTGCTAGTAGAACAAGTTCATCCTAGAGAGGGTGAAGGATTAAGGTCAAGGATTCTGAAACTTCATCTAATGTACTTTGGACATGTTGTAAGAAGTGACTAGTCCTTGAAGAGGGGCATCATGCTTGGAAGGGACAGACAGTGCAAGAGAGGAAGACCTTGATGAAATGGATTAATTCAGTGAGTGGGGTATGGGGGTGGATGTGTCAGACAGTAAGATTAGCACAGGATGGAGCAGGGTTCAGAGCTGTTGT